TCTCAACATTATGTGTAAAATTTAAAGTAATGTGAAGTCTTTCAAATTAGAATTACATAACTAAAAAGCTAGCAGGCAAGGCAAATTGAAAGCTGCTACATGGCAGAGTACATCTTTAGAATTGGTCCTGAATTTCAGCTTTGAAGTATCAAAGGTCTTATAAAATGCCAGTGCTACCCCATATAGATTGAAAGCCATTTGTCATAAAGGAATTTCTCATAATTGGGAATAGTTGGGAGATGTTCCAAGGAGTCTGATGTCTTTTATTTCAAGGGAAGCTTGAAAGTATGATTCCAAGAACTGGTACTGAAGGTTAAGTTTGCTTTAGTCCTTTTAGGGTGCTTAGCTTAGAAAGGTTAGAATAATGATTAGAAAAGCTTTATTTCTCTATATGCCCATGATGATTCTCTTTCCCATACTACCTACCCTAGCTTTTTTATAGCATCATGAGCATACAAATCTACTGAAGATAATGTATATAAATTCAGGCCAGGTTAAGGCCTGGGATGATGTAGCTCAGTGATGGAATATATGCTTAGCATGAGCAAAGTCCTAGGTTTGGTCCCCAGAACTGGGGAGAAGAGACAGTATGAGAGTGAATAAACATGAATGCAAGGACTGAGTGGTTTAACAAGGATCACCTAAAGTGACCTTGGAGTAAGAGTTAGTGAGACGTTAAGAAATCTCTACTAGGTTAAGGCCTGGGATGATGTAGCTCAGTGATGGAATATATGCTTAGCATGAGCAAAGTCCTAGGTTTGGTCCCCAGAACTGGGGAGAAGAGACAGTATGAGAGTGAATAAACATGAATGCAAGGACTGAGTGGTTTAACAAGGATCACCTAAAGTGACCTTGGAGTAAGAGTTAGTGAGACGTTAAGAAATCTCTACTAGTTGGGGCTGGAGAGATGGCTCAGCAGTTAAGAACACTTGACTGTTCTTGCAGAAGACCTGGGTTTGAATCCCAGCATCCACATAGCAGCTAACAACTGTCCGTAACTCCAGTTTCAGGGGATCCGACAGCCTCTTCTGTCCTCCGTGGGCATTGCATGACACGGGTGCACTTACATACATGCAGGCAATACATGCATACACATAAA